TCCTCCTCCCTCCTCCCTCCCTCCTCCTTGCTCCTCCCTTCCTCTGGGGAGCCAAGCTGCCAAAACATGACGACGTCGGAGGTGTCTGGGCAACCACACGTGCGCTTCCAGAGAGCGGCGCTCCAGTGCGGGCGACTGTGCCGACGAAGTGCACCGCAGGCCTGGGTTCACGCGAAGGCCGAGCCCGCGCACGGGGTCGTGGAGTGACCAGGCAGGAGTGACGACTGGTGGCCGCGGGGCGGGGGGGGGGGGGGCCAAATCCAGGCGCGCGGGCCCATGCTGGGGGGAACCCCCGTGGGCCCGCACCAAAGGTCACTCCTTCGTACCGGGCAGTTTTTAATATATGGGATTTTGAAAAATATAGGATTTTCAATACATGGTCAATTTATGACTAAATTTATGCTCTCCCTGCATTTTTAATACATCATCCGCACGCGGAGCATGTATTAAAAACGGCACTATAGGGTCACACTTGGGCGTAGCCGATCTCCGCGCGTCCCGCCCTCTGGACTAAAAAAAAACACTGGGTAGCGAGCCATGTTCCGGGACGCCGCCAGCCGAGGACCAGACAAGGTGGCCTCCGGCTGCGATCTCCGACGCCGACAGCAGCAGCAGCAGACCTCCTGAACCTGGCACGACACTGATTACAGGTGCCTTCTTTCTTCTCAGAGCAATCCAAAGTAGCTCCAAGCCATGTAAAACAATGCAGTGCGAGGTATTGCTTGGTCTGGTTTGCCATTGCTTGGAGTTGCTTGGCACTGCTTCGAAGCCATCCTTCGCAATTATTCATTGCTTGGCATGGCTTGACATTGATTGCCACGGCATTACTTGGCTTTGGTACTGCTTGGCGTTGCTTGGCGTTGCTTGGCGTTGCTTGGCGTTGCTTGGCGCTACGATGCGTTGGCCTTGCGGCTTATTGTGGCATTGCTTGGCATTGCTTGACACTGTTTGACATTGTTTGGAATGGCAGTGTCTGGCTTTGTTCGCATGGAGATACATTGCATCGCACTGCTTGTCATTGGTTTGCATTGTTTAAAATGTCTTGGCTTTGCTTGGTGCTGGTTGGCATAGCTTGACATTGCTTAGCATTGCCTGCCAGGGCTTGGCATGTCTTGGCATTGCTTGGCATTGGCTTGGCATCGCTTGGCATTCCCTTGCATTAAAATACATTGCTTGGTATTGCTTGGCGTTGTTCGACATCGATGTACATTGGATCGATTTAAATTGCATTACTTGGCGTTGATTGGCATTGTTCAACATTGGTTGGCATTCCTTGGCACTGCTTGGAATCGGTCCTTGGTATTTTACGTGGCATTGTGTGGCATTGCTTGCCGATGGCGTTGCATTCGTTTGCACTGCTTGGCATTGGGTAGCCTGTCTTGTTATTGCCTTGGTTGACATCGCTGTGCATCGCTTGGTGATGACTCGCATTGCTTGGCAGTGCTTGGCATTGTTTGACACTGGTTGGCGTTGCTTGGCATTCCTCGGCATTCCGCGGCATTGCTTTCCGTTGCTTGGCAGTGCATAGCACTGCATGCCACTGTTTGGCATTGTTTGGTTTTCGTTGAGGTTGCTTGGCACTCCTTTGCATTGCTTGGCGTTGCTTGGCAGTGACGTCAATTGCTTGGCGTTGCTTAAAAATGCCTTGCATTGTTTGGCACAGCATTGCTTGGTGTTGCTGCGTGTTGCTTTGCATTGCTGGTCCTTGCTTGTCATTGCTTTGAATTGTTTAGTTTTGCTTAGCGTTGGCTTCCCATTGCTTTTATGGCTTGGTGCTGCTTGGCATTGCTGGACATTGCTTGGCATTGCTTGGCGCTGCTTGATATTGCTTAACATTGCGTGGCGGTGCTTTGCATTGCCAAAATATTGCTTGGCACAACTTGCAACCGTTACTTGGCATCAATTGGCATGACTTGGCTTTGCTTGGCATTGCATTGCTCGGGATTGCTTTGCGTTGGCGTTGTATTGTGTTTCTTCGCTTGGCTTGGCGTTGCTTGGCTTTGCTCGGCACTGCTTGGCATTGTGGTATTGAATTGCTGGGCATTGGTTGGAGTTGCGTGGCACTGCATGACGTTGCCTTGCGCTCCTTGGCATTGCTGTGCATATCTTGGCGTTGCTTAGGGTTGCATGGCATTCCTTGGCATTCCTTGGCATTGCTTGGGATCACTTGGCTTATGTCGGGCGTGTCCCCCTGCAGGGGGATTTTCGACAGAAAAAAAAATACCCCAAACATACCTCCCAAAGGTCAAAAAATACTCAAAAAATAGTCCCCTGACCATTTTTCGACTATGTTTTGACTATTTTGGGGGTATTTTTTGTTTTTCGTCGATAATCCCCCTGTAGGGGGACAGGCCCGACTTAACACTTGCCGTTGCTTTACACTGCTTATCCGCGCCGAGGAACACCGAGGAACCCCGAGCCTCGCCGAGGGCCGCCCCGCCTCCGACGACGGGCATCGCACCCACCGGCTTCTCTGAAGGGGCCCCCAGGACACACGAATGAACACACACAAATAAGAAGATTCCCCATATTTTCCCATATTTGCTGGGCTTTTGTCTTCCCCCCCACTTCCCATATTTTCCCATATTTTCTTGGGGGTCGACGATTCATTGTGTCTGTGTGTTTCTTCCCCTCCTGATTCTCTCTGGAGCAGGTCAGACACCTTTCGGCAGAGCCCGATTGGGGAATGACAAGCGCCCTCCGTCAAGACGAGGGCAGAATCGAGACAAAGTCGAATTGATGTGCATCGGAGACCTCTGAGCCTCGGCGGGTTTGGAGGACGCATCGGGCGCCGCGGCTGTTTCAGAGCTTTCCGGAACGCTCCGAGAGCGTTCTGGAAAGCTCTGGAACGGATCTATCCTCGTGCTAGCCCCATCCGAATGCGCCCTCCCTCCCTCCATCGCATGGTGTCTCGGACTCTCTGCGCCACTCGCCTGGACAGCTGGTGGAAGGCGCGCCTCGCGCCAAGCCCCTCGTCGCAGACACGCACACACACACACACACACAGTCGCGCTGCCAGAAGGACCACTGAAATAAAGAACGAGGGCGAGCCTCGGTCATCAATGGGATCCCGGCTGTAGATTAAGAGAACGGCCCGACGACCAATGCCCCTCCCGAGTCCAAGGTAGTCCTCCTTTCAGCGTCTTGACTGTATAGACTTAGGCTGGGTATGTCCTCCTACAGGCGGATTCAGGGAGATTCTGTACATAAAACTTTCGGAGGTCTGCGCAGGTTTCTCGGGTCGGCGCTGGACCCCCCTCCCAGGCGCGCAGATGGCGCCGGAGGCGCCGCCAGGTGGCGTCCAACGCCCGACCTAAGGAATCATCTCGGACCTCCGAACACATGCGGTTACCCATGTTTCGACCGTCGACCCCAACAGCAAGTGCTGTCCAAAACCAGCAGCGGCCGCCGTTGGGCAGGAGACTTCTGTCCCGAATGAGCCGCGCCGGCGGCGGCATCAACAGCGAGCGAGCCATGGTCAAAGAGGAGAGGAAATGCCGTCAGCCTTCCACCCGACACGCACTCTTTCCGTACCCATATCGACCCTCCCTCCTCCCTCCGCCCTCCTTCCACGAGGGGAACCGAGAAGGCGGGACAGTGGCCTGGAATCTACAGAACATGTCATTGCACCAGCCTTGCAGAGTTGCTGCAGCGGATTTCTGCGTGGATTTCTGCATGGATTTCCGCCCGAAGCGGCGAGCGAAAAACGAAGTGAACGAAGTGAACTGGCCGACTATACGCACGAAATTCACCTCGAAATCCGGAACGAGGTTCTCCAGCACACTCTGGACCCATCCTATCGGTTTCCGAACGAAATCCGGTCTGCGATGATGGGCCTGTTTTCCACCACCACCACCACCAGAAGTTGGAGGGGGAGGGGATCCTCCTCCGCCTCGTCCTCGTCCTCCTCCTCCACTACCTCCTCCTCCTCCTCCTCCTCCTCCTCCTCCTCCTCCTCCTCCTCCTCCTCCTCCTGCTCCTCCTCCTCCTCCTCCTCCTTCTCCTCCTCCTCCTCCTCCTCCCTCCTCCTCCTCCTCCTCCTCCTCCTCCTCCTCCTCTTCCTCCCTTGTCGTCCCCTACCCCTGTCGGCGCCCCTGACTCCATCCTCCCTCACCCCCGTCTTGGAGAAGCCGATGCGCTGGCGAACCGCCCGGGGGGGAGGCGCTCTTGTCGTAGTCGCCGCTGACTGCGCTCTCGCTGCCGAACGGGCAACTCGGGCGGCCAGGGCACAAACGACGACGAGGACGTTCGGCAGCAGCAGCAGCAGCCGCAGGCAGAGGAGGACGTTGACGACGTGGCCGACGACGACGACGACGACGACGACGACGACGACAGCGGCGACGACAACGACAACAGCGACGACGACGACAACGACAACAGCGACGACGACGACGACGACGACGACGACGACGACAGCGACGAAAACGAAGAAGACGACGACGACGACGACAGCGACGACGACGACGACGAAGAGAACGACGACGACGACGACGACGACGACGACGACGACGACGACGACGACGGTGGCGGCGGCGGCGGCGGCGGCGGCGGCGAGGGCGAGGACGCGGAGAGCGAGGCGGCGGCGGCGGCGGCGGCGGCGAGGGCGAGGACGAGGAGGCGGCGTGGGCAGCTCTCGCGCGACGACTCGCGCCGAGTTGCAGCGCCCGCTGGGGCGCCCAGGCTGTCGTGCACCCGCCGCGGCGAGGGGGGCGCGCGCCGCCGCCCGCGGCCCGTCGGGGGCCCGCGGGAAGCGCCACGGCCGCGCCCGCACACGCCCCGTTCCGCCCTCGTCCCTCCCGCCCGGCTGCCCCACGCCCCCTCGGCTACACGTAAGGGTGACGGCCGCAGCGGCGCGCGCAAGCCCGCCGGGGACCCCAGCGGCGCCCGCATCAGA